CTTCCCCTCTTCATCTTGTACAAAAAACGTCCGGTGCTTAGCGTCCGTACGGTGAGTGCCGGGCACTCAACGCCGTTACGACCCTCGCCAGATACTCTTACCGTCATATTCATGCTTTTTCATGGGGTTTGTCCGTGAAATCCAGCCTTTTAAAGGTTGACCTTGTGCGAACATACCAACAGCTTCCAATGACATCTGAAGACATTGTTAAAAGAGCAGTTATCACACCTTGCGGTTTGTACGAGTTCATTCCTATGCCTTTTGGTCTTGGCAATGCGACGCAGTGCATTCAGCGCTCCATGGACCAAGTCTTCCGTGGCCTGAACTTTCTTTTCGTCTACATCGACATTGTCCTAATAGCCAGTGCTACGCCAGAAGAGCACTTGGATCTCCGTCGAAAAGTATTCCGAAGCTTCGAGCATCACGGGATAATCATTAATCCGTGTAAATGTCTATTCCGTCAATGTAGCGTCGATTTTCGTGTCCACAGAATTGGGAGCAAAGGCATTAGCGCTATCCCTGAGAAAACCCAGGCAATCATGTACTATCCAATGCCTCAATCCGTTAAAACCTGCACCGATTCCTAGGCATGGTTAGGTATTACGGAATAATAATCAAACATTGTTCCGCCGTCCTTCAGTATTCGACTGATTTACTTAAAGTTACTCCAAAGAGGTTCACTGTTATGTCAGAAACGGAAACAGCGTATGTTGCCCTCAAGCAGAATTTGAGTCTTAAATTCCTTGGGCTACTTGGACACCGAAGAGAAAGCCATTCTCGTTCGCAAGACTGGTGCCTCAAAATCCTCCGTCGGTGCTTGGCTAGCACACCCAAGAAGCACTGACATTCAGCCGCCGACTTGCTTTTCTCGAAACCTACAGCCAGCACAAACAAACTATATTACTTTCGGTCGGGTAGTTCTCGCGATCTACGTGGCTGTCACACACTCGCCACGTACATGAAGGACAAGGTTTTGGTATCCTAATGGACCACAAGCCGATGGACTACGCATTTCGTGCCGCTTCCGACCGCTATTCTTTGCGGAAGACGCGACACCTGGAGTACCTCACACAATGCTGTTTCGATATTCACAAACACGGTGGTCCAAATAATGTCGTGGCTGACGCACTTTCACATGCTCATGTATATCATCCTTCGTCCTCTCCAATAGATTTTGTGCAAATGTCTGTTGCTTATAACAGCAATGCTTAACTCGCTCCGCTTCGAAGGAATGCCACATTAAAATTTTGCAAATACTTATATTAAACTCAGATGCAAGGCTTCACTGCGATGTCTCTAACGGTAAGCCAAAACCGTTTGTTCACGGTCGTCCCGGTGAGCCGTCTTTGTTACTTTTCATGGACTATCGCATCCTAGCATTCGATCCACTGTGAAATGAATTACTGATCGGAACACCTGGCCTAGTATGCGCTCCGATATCCGTCAATGGACCAAACGCTGTCTCAGCAGCCAGAGCAGCAAAATATACAGACACAATCGCAACCCCTCAATATTCTCACTACCTGAGACGCGTTTCAGACATGTCAACCTGGACATAGTCGGACCGCCTCCACCATCAAACAATTGCACTTTCATTCTTGCATGTGGTGACCGCTTTACTCGTTCGCCGTACAGATTCCTTTACGTAACACAGTTAAGGAACGGCTGCAAATACATTTTTCGACGCATGTATTTCCTTCTTCGGGTGCTGTCTACGAGCACAACAGATCGAGGAACTCCGTTTAGGTTTACCTTGTTCCGTGAGTTGAATATTCTGTTGGGTTGTACCCACATTCGAACCTGTTCGTATCATCTTGCTGAGAATGGTTTTGTCGTGCGTTTCAAGCACCAGCTTAACGCCGCCAGCACAGGTAATTCCCTTGCCCCACACTGGTCTGAAAGCATGCCAGACGTAATTCTTAGCATAAGTAATACCGTCAAAGAGGGTGTTGTTTGCATCACTGCCTAACTCGTCTTTGACTCCACTCTTGGGCTCCTAGGTGAAATGGTGTTGGATTCAATTGTCACCGGTGAAATCGATCCTGTGTTCTACGCCGAAGGTCTCAAACAAGGCTTCTGAAAAATTCGAACTACGTCTAACTGCTTTACTGCCGCGAACGACGAATTTATCCCGACTTACACAATTTTCTTTTAGTTTTCATTTGGATTGACGCAGTTCGTAACCCGATGACGCCCCATTTCCATGGACATTCTGAAGAGTCGACAAGGAAGCCAGAATAAATCATCCAGAAAAGGAAGGGCTCGCGAGAATCCGTGAGTATTGACCGTCCTAAACACGCTTTTGTTGCGCCTATCGTTACTTTGACTGATCCCAAGTGCTTACCACCTGTTGGTCAACTGACTGATTTCAAGGCTAAAAGATATGCATGCGCTCGCTCACCGGATGATCACAAGCGCACACGTCCAGGACGTTCTGTATCTTTTCACACCAAACTAGCTGCTTTTGTTCCCTAACTATCTATATCGAGCGGTACCTTACCAGTTCAAGCTCGAAGGGGCGGGATATATGCTGGTTAATAATCTTCCACATTTGGTCTTACCTATCATCAAACTTATCATGACATTTACTGCACAATTTTTTACATTTATGGGTGAACTATGCTGCTACTTGACCCGCGCTCCGTCGTGCTGAGTTTTGGCTATGCTGCTTCTGCGTATGTGCGGTACCGTTCAGTCTGCTTGCAAATCGGACATTAGACGCGGGGTTACTATACAAAAGGCTACCGTATCAGCGTCGGCTTATGCGTAAATCTCCATCCAATCCCAAAGTCTTGTATGGTCGCGTCAGCATTCTTTGACAAGCCAAGCACGGTGTCACCGCATTGATGACCACCACTGGGCTGACGAAGTCAGCAAACGAGGCAGCAGAAGTAATGTTCCAGCAGTACGCATACAAATCCTCCGTTCCATCAATGCATACAACGATAGTACCTACTTCGATCTCACCCCAACTTCCCTGACGACTGTTCATTTCACTCCGGAGAAGGTCCTGGCGAAATCCAAACCCTGAGGCTTACGGCCTCTCCTGGCACTGATGGTTTTCCCCCAAGACTCTTGCGAGCGTGTGCTGCAGCTCTAGCTTCACTCCGAGCGGCCCTGTTCACCCACTTCTTCTCACAAGGCGAAGGTCCAAGTGATTGGAAATGTGGGACTCTTACACCAATCTACAAAGGCGGTACTCGCAAATATCCGGCCAAATACCGGCCGATAATTCTCTTGTCTACGATCTCCAAGGTGATGGAATCGATCGTCCCACACTCTTTAATGGACTAGATGGAGGTCCAGACACTGCTCTCCGATTGCCAGCACAGTTTCTGGCGGCAAATTTCTTACCTGACTAACCTGCTGCTTGCCAGGGATAGCTGGACGACTTCTGCCGACTCTAGCCTTGAAACGCATGTTATATTCCTGGATTTAGCCAAAGCCTTCGGCAAGGTCGACCATAACCTTCTACTACAGAAAATCTTGTCTTACGGCATTTCAGGGGCTTTTTGGACTGGATCCGGAACTACGTACAAAACCGTGCCCTCCAGCTACGCGTCCACGAAGCGTTGTCTACCCACATTCTTGGTACAAGCGGAGTTCCACAGGGGTCTGTTCTCGGACCGCACCTCTTCCTAGCCATCAATGATTACGTCACACCCCAAGTGGAGTCATCGCGGCTGCTATATGCGGAGAACGCGAAACTGTGACGCACAATTAACGTTCCGGATGATGTCCACGCATTTCAGACGGACCTCGACTGTTTACATAGGTGATCCATAGCAAACAACCTTCCAGTTAACGTTTCGAAATGTCCCGCCCTTTCTACAAGCCCTTCCGCTTTTTCTCCTATATATTACTTAGGAACAACTACCCTCCAGATATCTTCAGCCGAAAGAGAATTGGGTATCAATACCCATACTAGTTTCTCCGTATCCGCTTCCTGCCGGAAAGCAGCAGCTACTGCTAACCGCATGGTGGGACTGCTGAAGCGAGCCTTCGGTCAAATTGACCCCAGCAGTTTCCGTCTCCTCCTTAACGCTTTTCTTCGACCCCATGGAGTTTGCTTTTCAGGCTTGGAGCCTCTGGTTGTTGAAGGAACAACGCGTACTTGAAGCCTCACAACGTCAAGCAACCAAACTGTTCGGGGTCTCAAGCATCTAGATTATCCATAACGACTTCACCGCAGTGGCCTCTACTCACTCAACTACCGTCGTCTACGGGGTGACCTGGTCCTTGTTTTTATGATCTTATCCAACTCTGGACACCCAAGTCGCTACCTAATCACACCGCATCAGTCCTGCTACCACCTACGTGGCCAACCACTGAGGCTCACACATCAGCGCAGTCAGCTGAACTGCAGACGACAGTACTTCGCTTTGCGAACCTGCAAACCGCGGAATGCTCTTCCTACCTGTTTAATCTTAGCAAAACTGTGGCGGCTTTTAAGACAATCCTGAACTGTCATCTGGCCAAACTGCACCGCAATATTCCCTGATATAACTATCTTAAACTTGGGGGAGTCTCTTTCCTTTTTTCTTCTACCTACTTCCATTCCATAGCGATTTCGGAGGGCGTGGTGGGATGTCACACTTTCAACCGGCGTGAATTCTGTTTAAATGCCGTATAAGCCAGATGAAGCTAAGGCTGGCACGCGAGTCCAAACGGCTATAAGGTTGCTTGGCCTATCATTTGCCCCGAATCAGTCTTTTTATCATATGGGTCATGTAAAGATCGAGCTTATTTTCCCTTAAATACAATGTTCCAATGTTATCATGCTTGAGGTGTGCCACAGGTATAGCTAACCTACCACTCTATCTTAACTGTGAGTATACTGTGAGTTGACTTGCTCAAACCTTTTGCGTTTGCTAAGGAATTGAAACATACCTGGTTTAATTTCGACCACTAAGGTTTGGTCGTCCATACATAATGTATGGGAGGGGACAACCGCACTAGACGAGCAATTTGTTGCTGCGCTACCTGTGGTCAGGAAACCCATGGATAGCAGCAAAGCTAACAAATTCGAAGTTACATGCGCGGAACATTATTTACAAGCTATGTTTGAAGGAAAGTGCGTGTAAGCATAGACGTGCCAGCACACTATAAGCAGTGCTTCTTTTTTAATCTTTAGCATATTTCAGTAAATGTACAGCTGTGACAGTAGCAAACATTCTAGCAGCTAATAATTTTGCAAACATGTCCCTGGCCACGTGTTTGTTTACGTCAACTTGGTGTTTTCCGAGCGGCTTTAACTCGTACCGGTCTTTCGTCGACGTGTGGAAGAAGACAATCACAATGGGCCATGGTCAATAACAAAAGCAGCTGGTGTCGCCCATCATCCGAGGAAATTTGCTTTATTGCTTTTATGAACTTAGCACTTCAGGTTATTGTACTTCAGGTTACTGTACACATGCTGCCTTAATGAATACGGCACATTTTTTCATTTTAAATTAGTGTGCCCATTTCAGTTCGATCGTAATGACGCATATTATGTAACATGCACAGCTGAATTTTCTAATTTGATATTTCCTGAAATACATGTACTTTTTGTATTACTTTTTCATCTTAGTTTATAGGTTGTTTTTGTATTTACCGTTGTACCCATGAACGCCGATCGCCAAAACCCTTACCCGCCACTTGTGAGAGTGCAGTTCCCGTCGAATTTGGAGATGCGTAAGTTTCCCAATTTCAAGGTTTCTTGTGTTCTATGGACACATTCTGTGCTAAAGTTTTTGTCAAGGATGATGTTACTGCATCTTCGCTAGTTGTTTTGTGTAGGTTTTTTTGTGTTGTCTGCCTAAACTCGCACGATGCAATCCATTTTATCGAGAGTACTGCTTTTCGCTTAGCAGTTTTTCTTTGTCATCATCATTATTATACATGTCAGCTAGAGGTGGGAAACACCTCACCTACTGTGCCGAAATAAATAAATGAGAAAAGAAACGAAATACAAAAGTTGCATGCCAGCTGAGCTACCAGCAACGGATAGGCATCGTTCCGGTATGCTACCAGCCAGCTACTAGGCAAAAAGGAAAAGTATTATGTTTACGCTACGATATGAGATTGTAGGTGGTGGGGGAAGCTAAAAGGGATGGGGAGGGACAAATAAACTCACAGCAGGAACGCCACTGAGGTCGGCTTCTTGCCATGTCAGCAAGTGTATGCATCCAAACGTGTTCACCGTCTTTTGGACCCCAACCAGAGAGCCGCGACGCTCCAACCGAGGCCAGCACAGAAGTGAGGGCCTTCATTACTCTGGACCAAGCCATCGTTTGGCCACCTCTCCTCTTCCATCCACATCCGCGGTGAGCAAACAAAGCACGTCATGGAAGTCGATGGGCTGGCATGCGCAACACGTGGCCCAGCCATCGGAGCCTGGTGCATGAAATGACGGCGCTAACGGTTCAGTTTCTCTTCCTGTGCCGTAAACAAGGCGTCGAACACGCTCGTTACTCACGCGGTGTTCCCACCAGATGTGAGCCAAACTGCGAAGGCACCGATGGTCGAACGTAACTAGCCTCTTCATGTCCGTCGATCTTAGGGGCCAGATTTCGCAACCGTACAGTAGGGTCGAACGTACCGCTGCAATGTGATATAGGATCACATTTTGCTGGTTTACATTGGAGTGTAGAACGCTTATGTGAGAACCATTGTTCTCTTCATCACATTTAAATGAGCTCTAGAAGGTGCGTGTTAGCTAGAAATAGTGTTCTTAGTGAGGAAGCACAGGTACACGAATGACAGCACGATCCTGATAGAGAGTAGGTGAAATCCAAAAGCCTCTTGAAACATTCTTCAGTGGGTGCGCTGACCACAGCTTCTGGTAAGTTTATCTAATCATTCACTGCCCGGGTAGATAAGATGACCACTTTGTGAACCCGATGCCTCCTCGGTTTGGAGAGTTTCCAACTGTGTCCACGAGTTGAGGTGCTTTTGTTGACCTGGAAGTACTATTGGAGATCGTTACCTATCTCACTCCTCAGAATGCGTACCCACGATGGTGGTGGTAGTCTAGGGAGAACAAATGCATACGTGAGAGGCGATCGTAGTAGGGCAAATTCCGAATAGCTGGGATCGATTTGGAACCTCGCCTCTGCAATTTCTCCAACCGAAATTGGTGAGTGGGTAACTCGCCGTTAAGCCGTACGCAAGGATGGAACGCACATATGAGACATTTAGGAGTTTGAATATCTCAGGATTCATTCAAGCGAATGATCTTATACCTTAGAACATTTTGTTAGCTGCATTGACTTTCTTTGACGTCATCAGACTGCAACGACGCCGAGATCCTCTGCTCGATTGGCAGTCTGTAGTAGGGAGCCACCGATGTGATAGGTGCCAATAGAAGACAAAGCACTTATCGCGGTTTAATGGGAATTCTCAGACGACGGACCATTCATGCAACCTGTTAAGTGACAATTGCCATCTATCAGCATCACCAAAGATGTTGATCTCCATCCACCGTTTTGTAGTGATCTGCAGATTCACCCGCTTGATGTGTAAATCAATCCTAAATACTATGCAATCATAGTTTTCTCATGTATTAGAAAAGTAAGTGGTTCGCAAGTGTGAATGGCGCACGTGTTTGTATGATACACACGGACAACACCCGAACTTTGTCCGCGGGCTTCGGAAAGAACGTCAGTTCTCCAATCACTCAGCACCCTACCACATACTCCCTAGCTAGTCATCTTCCAGTGCCCTATTTTTAGCAACCTAATAAACATTTTTCTAGCTTATTCCCGTGTGTTTTACCGCACGAGTTCGGTTGGCCATTTGAATCTGACTTTCGGATAGATACCGTTAGACCAACGCGCTATAATTGCATATCATCGGCATTGATTAGACAATCAGCTTGAAGCACGGTCGGAAGGTCATTAATGAAGATCTTGAATAATTCAGGGCCGAGGACCGAATCTTGAAGCACTCCATTGATAATCGGAACTTGTACAGAGAGGGCTTCGTTCTCTTTCACTCGCATTGAACGGCTTTTGAAACAAATCAGCGATCCAAAAAAGAATATTCCGAAAGACGCCAATTCTCGAAAGTTTGGAGAGGAGACGTTCATGGGAGACTTTGTCAAACACCTTGCTGAAGTCGACGACAGCGACATTCAGACGTTTGCCACCATCCAGCGATTTCACCCATTTTTCCCGAGAAACGAGTAGGTTAGAGATGCAAGTGCATGTTTTCTGAGCCCATGTTTACTGGGCGTGATTACATTAAGAACTTCCATGTGACGTTGAAGAATGTGTTTCAGGATCCTCTCCATGACCTTACAGATTTCTGTCAGGCAAATCGGCTCATAATTAACAGGGTCTTGCCGATTCCCACTTTTGTATATAGGCTTCACGACGCCTACTTTCCAAACGGGGGACAGTCGGCCAGATGCGAGAAAGAGTCGAAATACTTGACACAGTGGAACAACGATGTACTCGGCCATGGTTTTGAGGAAAAAAGAATGTAAATCATTAGGACCTGGAGAAGAGTTAACATTTGCTTCAAGAAAGAGTTTCAGGACCATTAATGAATTAATTTCGATGGACGAAGGGGAAAGGTGGGAGGGGACAGTCACAAATTCACAAGAAAACCGATTCTGATTAGTAACCAGAAGAATAATGGGAGACAAGTACTTCAGCATTAGCATCCTTCTTATGCAGTACAATATTATCCAGAGTGGATAACAGAGCAGGAACATACGAAAACTGCTTTTTGTGGGTTGTCTAGCCAAGGATAGTTTCTAAAGTTGTCGCTTTTCCATTTTGTTAGTAGTGCAAAAGTTCTTGACTGCTTTGTACTCCGAATAAGTGGTGTTAGTCCAGTTAGCCTTGGATTTGTCCCACAGCTTCCTTCGTTTATTCAAGAGGAGCCTCAGTTCCGAAACAATCCATGGGGGACCTATGGAAAAGAACCATTTTCTGGAATTGGCGACAATATGACCAATACAAATGTCATTCTAGAGCACAAGAGCTGCCATGTATTCTCGATTTTTAGATCTTGGGGAATGCTCCAGTCCAGCGCGCTCGCTGCCGATCTTAAGAGTGAAAGATCATTACGTCAGAGGTTCTGAAAATACACTGTCTTGTTTTTAACTCCGAGACGGTTAGTCCACAAAATGGAGACGACACAATGGTCGCTCTTAACGAATAGTTGGAGAACAGTTAGGTTAGACACATCAGTTGGTGCTGGAGTAAACACAATCAAGGACGTGCGGGGACTGGTCCGGAAGGACCCGAGTAGGCATCTGTACGTGCTGAAACAAATTTGCCTCTCGGACGCATTCGAGTAAAACTGCTTCGAACGGGTCGGGAGAAAGATCCCAGTGTGCAAGATCCCAGTCAACCATTAGGTAAGTAGTCCTGCTTTCCTTCTTCTCGGTCTTGGCACGCGCCTAGTTTCATCGCTTCTCCTTTGTTCTTAGTCTTTATGTGATTTCCCCATTGTCAATAATATCCGACGAGTGCACCGTGCATGTCTAATAGGTGATGGATAAGCCCCAGTAGCGAAAAATTGTCACTCATTGGGCGGTTGCCGAAAAACCTTAAGCGGGCTCCCTTCCGAACTTGGTATATATATATATATATATATATATATATATATGTGTGTGTGTGTGTGTGTGTGTGTGTGTGTGACACTTTCTTCAAATATAAACTTCATCCTGCATCGGCCGTCGCGCAGATTATCAAGGGTCGCCTTATCTGCTGCATACAGCAGGGCGGATAAGCGAAAACATGCTACTGCTGGCGCCTCCCTTCTTTCTTTTCCACCTTTTTCTCTTACTCCCATCCCGGCCCCCATTGCTAACCTTCCTTCTATGATTCCCAGCCTAATTGACAGCAACCGAAGTGCTACTGGAGTAGAACCATCGGCAGCCACCATCCCACCGCACCTATCGGACGCCTATCGGCAAAAGTCCCTTATAAGGCCACGCTGTCCTGTTTCCATGGCGACATTCAACGTCCGCACTCTAAGACAAACGGGTCAGCAGGCGGCACTTGCACGCACCTTGGACACACTGGGTGTTGATGTGTGTTGTGTGTCCGAAACTAGGATTAATGACCCTAACGGGGTTATTGAATTGACTGCACCCGACTTATCCTCTCGTTATTGGTTGCACGCATCCGGAGACGCCGATGCAGCACTCACGGGTCAAGCTGGTGTAGGTATCATTCTCAGCTCCAAGGCTGAGCCATCATTGGTTGATTGGATTCCGGTGAACAGCCGTTTATGTGCAGCCCGTTTGACATCAGCTAAGGGGAATTCGGGAAGTAGTGCAAAACGCTGTTTGTTTGTGATTTCCGCTTATGCTCCCACCGACTGCAGTTCTAATGCAGTCAAGGACACCTATGACGAACTGAACGCCCTACTACGCAGTGCTACTAGTTCAGATATTATAGTACTTGCAGGGGATATGAACGCACGAGTAGGGCGTCTGAGCTCTTCAGAAGTTCAGCTGGGTGGTAATTATGGGCTTAACTCCGAACGGACTGACAACGGCGAGCGTCTGCTGCAACTGTGTGCAGAGCACCAATTGTTTCTTAGTAGCACTGCTTTTAGACACAGTGGGTGCCGAAGTGCCACTTGGCGTCCACCTGTAGCTGGCCAGCGATGGACCCAAATTGACCACATAGCCATAAGTTACAGGTGGCGCGGTTCCGTTCTGGATTGCCGCT